ATGTGACGATAATATAATCAGGTTGCCAAAACATACTCACAATACGATTTATAGCAGCGTAAACAATGAGTGTTATGAAGATAGCAAAAAAGTCGAACACCTATAAACCAATACTCTCACTCTACTCATTTTCGGTAACATTTTGATGGTTATTGTCATGTCATGTTATATTTGTCATCACAAGTATCATACGATTCAGCGGGCTTCAAAGGATTATCCAAATGAGTCCGGCAGCAAAGTTTACCCTTTCTGTCTGCAGCTCTATAAATATACTAGCACATTGTTTAGGCTTTCATATCTCTGTGAAAGATTAAGAATACGATAGAGAGTTATAAACAGCGTCGTTAAAATAGTTTTATTTTGCAGATTTGCTCGGATATCAAACTTAGAAGAAGTGCGCCACAATGAGAGCTTTTCTTCGTTCTGATTTTTTTCGGTTCTCTTCCCAAGAAAAACCTACACCCCTTACCAATTTATCAATCAATTAAAAGTCCCTACCCAGCCGAAGTGTAATAAAACAACAAAAAATTTCCGGTTCGGAATATTTTTTATATAGTTTGCACAAAGCGATCTCTATCACTTCGTCAAATTTCAAGGCTCACTTATTCCGTGGAACGACACATCAAGAAGTAAGAACTATACGTTATGTGGTTGTAGCAGTCTGGTATGGCAAAATACGTCTTGTTCAATAACTCTCATAGTTCGAGGATGAGCCAAAATTCCCGCCACAATTTTTCGAACTTTTTGTAGACCTCATGGTTGAGATTATAATTGGGTAATAGAGGGTTTTTAAGTCTTTCACTAGCAGGACATGAAGGAGTCTCAAACAATACTCTAAGTTAAATCCAGAATGTCAAAAGTAGCATTCTGCGTTTCTTCAAATACTGTTTTTCAAAAGATTTTACGGAAGCCTTTCTTAAAGATGAGTACCAGGCTCTCCACGTAAATCTTCGCACAAGCACTGTCTGTTACCCGTAATAAACCGCCGCCGGAGTAGCGAAAACCGTTTTGTTTCTGAACCGATGAGACCCAAATTCT